CACCTCGATGTGCACCTGAAGAGCAGGTTGGGGTTTTTTCCTCCGCCCTCCGAAGGATTTTTGCGGGAGGAGCGGCGGAAGGGTGATAGGGAAGGTGTTTCGCCCAGGACAGGTTACGAGCCTGTTTGTAAACTTCCAGGCTGGGATGGTTCTCCTTAGGAAATGTTCCAGTCAGCACCACGCCGGGATTTAGAAGTGTTTACATCATGTGGGGATTTGTAATGGTCATTTATAAAAGCCACAGTTTCATTTGTGCTTTCCTGGTGAAGCCCAACGCACAGCTAAGGTTGGGCTTCGGTGTCCAGAGCTGGACTTCAAGAATCCCTGTGGGTCCCCTCCAGCTCGGTTCTGTGATTCTAGGATTGATAAAGTGCACTGGTTACATCATTCCCAAGGATTTATGGCTGCCTGTCAGGGAGCATCACGCTCTGGTTTGCCCCACGAGACCGACATCCTCCCCCAGGCACCGTGACTGCGGGATGCACTTACCCTTAAACTGTCCCTGAGGTGTAAACTGTGAGATTAACATCCTCCTTTGACAGTAAAAGCTGCACCGAGGGAATAAAAGTCATTCCCAGCCAGAGAAAAGTGGATGTACAGTTTTCTGCAGGAGAAAAGTTTCCTCCAAGGACGATGTCCAGAAAACTGCACATTTATTTTGCTTTGAATCATGATGAGGGCAAGCCCCTAGACTTCTGTGACAGCCTGTGGTACCCAAAACCTGGCCAAAAACCCTCACCAAAACGCAGCTTTTCCATGGAGCACCTCCGTGTATCCTGTTTGCATCCCAGGAAAAGCTGAGGACGCCCCACGCAGCTACAGAGAGCACCCAGCCAGGTGCTGTGGAGGGAGGGAGGGGCTTCTTCCCAGGAGAAAACACAGCGATTGGGAAACGCTGCAAGGAGCTGGGACCTTGGAAACCACAGCTGAGGCTTCCCGGCTCCCTCGGTTGTGCAACGCTTTCGCAAGGATCCGAGCAGGATGCGTCAGGCAGAGGGAGGGAGTTCCTGCACACCCAACAGAGCTCCTTCCCATGGGAAAGGAGCCAGGGCTGATGCTGGGCTCTGATTTTCGGGAATCTCACATCCAAGCCCTGCTCAGGGTTTGGTAAGGTGCTTAGCCAGGGTTTGGAGCAGATACAGAGGGATTTGGACTTTATCCTATGGGAATCAGGAGGTGAAACTTCTCTGAGCTAATTTGTGCTCTTGAAGTGGTCCCCCCTCCCTGTGCAGCTCTTCCAAGGAGCTGGAGCACATCCAGCTGGCTCTGCCAGCTCCTGACAAGGCACAGCAGCTCTGCCTGCCAAGGAATCCCTCCCCGTGCCCACCTGAGCATGTTTGTGGTCACCACAATCTTAAGATCACTCCAAATCCTGCCAGAAAAGTGTTGGAAAACATCTTCCCTCTTTCTAGGCAGGTAGGAAGAAAATTTCCCTTTGGTTTTGCTTTTCTCACCCCAAATCCTTACCCACCATCCGTGAAGCTGCTGCTCACAAGGAGCATCCTGGGGCTGTGCTGTGCACGGTGTCCCCATGGGCTGGGCAGCCCCAGTGTGGCTCTCATTAGCCACCGTGGCTAATTGAGCAACAGGCTGATCCTTTCCTTATTTAGCATCATCCCCTTGGCACAACGCTGCTGCTTGTAGAGACTCATGGAGCTGTGAGAGCAAAATCAGAATCTGCACCATGGCCAAGAGGCCACACCCTGCCTTAGGGAGGGGGAACCATGCCCTGAGCGGGACTGGCAGAAATTCCAAGACAAAAAGGACACAGGGAAGGAGAAAAACACGTTGATGAGTGTAATAATGCACCATAACAGTCAGTGCAGGGTGGTTGGTTACCCGGCAAACTGGGGAGGAACAGCGTGGTTTGGGCTCAGGACCACGGCCCTCCCTCATCTTTGTGTTCCCTCGGCTCTGTTATGAAATTTTATTTGATGAGATGGAATAAATGAAGGAAAAAGATGTTGCTGTTTGCCCCTCACTCTGAGAAATTGCTGAATGGACTCAAGTTTCATTTTCTTGCTGCTGTTGATTTCTGCATGTTAGGAAATCTAATGAAAAATTAATGTATTTTGCTATTCCGTGAAAACGATGGGAATAGACTGAATCAGGCATATACTGTTAAGAAAACAACACTAATACAAGTTATATTTCTTCCCTCTATCATTTTCACACTCTAAAAACATAACACACAGCCCAATTACAGTGCCCTTACAGTATTTCCTATTTAATTGGATAATAACGCTCCAATTCTAAGGAGATTATTTGGAAAAACCGGTTTTTTTTGTCTTTTAAGTAGAAAATATCTGCTATGAAGACACACACAGCAAAGGAGCCATTCTCTGAGACACCCTGAGCCCAAAAATATGATGCTGTGAGCTCAAAACTCACAGCTCCTTCACCTGCTCCCTGCCCAGAGCTGGGGCTTGTTGCACTTTTGTTCCTCTTGTGCCACCTTGAGGGAAAAAATCTCTTCTGCACGGGTAGAATGGAGTTTGCTGCTACCCAAAAATCCAAACACTTCATTTTTGGGTTGGGGTTTCCCTGGGCAGAATTTCTTTTTAAACCAAAGAACAAAGTTTAGAGCTGCCGTTCTTTTCCATCTTGTCTCGTAAAGGTGGAGTAAAATCCTTAAGTCTGTCCTCAGGTGTGTAATGGGGAAGGAAGAGGGAATTTAATGAAAGCTTTTGGTTTCTTTTTGCACAGTTTCCATTGCTTAAGTTGAGAGACTCGCCTGGTGGGGGGAGCTCAGGATGAGTGGAGCAAGCCCCACCATCCACAGCTCTGTCTGGGAAACTCTCTAAAGATCTTTTTTGTTTTACACAGCTTCTCTTGTTCTTGCTATTTTGTCTGCATGGAAAAATAACAAGCAGAAAATAATGGGAAGAAATAGGATTTACCTCTGAAAATTCACCAGAAAAAAAGGTATTTTTTTGTGTTTCTTTATTTATTTTGGGTTTTTGTTTGTTTTTGGTTTTTTTTTTTTTTTTTTTTTTTAATTTACCATTAAAGGACCTAAATGATGCAGTAAATCCTTTTGCCATAGAGAAAAAATCGATGCTCATCCAACCCCACCTCCAGAGGGGAATCCAGCCTGTGCAGCCAGGGTGAGGTGGGAGAAGAAAATACCCCCCTGTATGTGCCAACCCCTGCTGGGTCACGAGCAAAGAGAAACCTCCAGCCTCCAAAAACTCTTTTATGGCTTGTCCAAACCTCAGAGGCTCCTTCACTGCTCAGCAAACTATGGAAAAATCTCCTGAAGGTTACCAAGACACTCCAGTACCACCGAGTGGTATGCTAGAAATTATTTTATATTATTCTGGTGGCAGGAGTAGACTCCTTGAAGATCTATTTTGATCCCATTGCTGGTCCCTGGGATGCCCTGACAGCACCTCAGTGTCACTCCAGACACTGCCTCATGTCACACTGTGCTTTTCCCACAAAGATCACTACCAAACTACGGCAGCAGAAACCATTTTGGCTCGCATTGGTGTGGGAACGAGCTTAAATTAAAGTATGATTTTGTGGTGTTCATGGAACAAATCGTTCTCCTGAAAGCCGAGGATCTTGGCTGCTGTCACACTTGCCAGCAGGAGACAGGAGTCTTCCAAACGGGGAGGTACAAGTGATCCTAAAGGGCCACGAGAGGTCCAAGTGATCCTAAAGGGCCACGAGAGGTCCAAGTGATCCTAAAGGACCATGAGAGGTCCAGGTGATCCTAAAGGACCATGAGAGGTCCAAGTGATCCCAAGGATCCCAATGACCATCAGCATTTCAAGTGATCCCAAGTGATCCCAAGGACCATGAGAGGTCCAACTGATCCTAAAGGACCATAAGTGTTCCAAGTGATCCAAAGGACCATGAGAGATCCAGGTGATCCCAAGGACAACTTCACTGGCACAGTGAGGAGCTGCCCTGACACCTGGTGTTGCCTGGGGCCATCTCAGCCCCCCCAGACCTTCCCAAAATGTCACTGCTGCTGTCCCCCCGTGGCTCAGCTGCAGGCAGTTCCTCTCCCTGCTGTGCAGGAGGACTCCTGCCCCTCCTGACGAGCAGGTAGAGCAGGGCTGGGTGGGTGGAGCAGGTGGGATGGTGGAGGCTGGGAATGGCCCAACCCCTCTCCTGTGCCACTCTGTCCTGCAGTGGGCACAGCCCAGCTCTGACCTTTGCCTTGCTTGGCTTCTCCACCCTCTGAGGCTCCTCTGAGCTGCCTGAGCAGCTGCTGGTGCAGCCCAAAGAACCTCAGCTGGCAGCACCAGCACTGCCTCAGCTCCAAGAAAGGGTCACTTCTCCTGGGGCACCACCCCCCCACCTGCCCAGGGCTGTGCCAGTCACGTTCTCTGCACAGAGAGACATCATCCTGTCTCTCAGGAGAAGGACAGAGAGAAGAAGAGGAAACAATCCTTATCTCTGCTCCTTTGTTTTGCCCATGTGGAATGTGGTGTGGAGATTGTTCACCTGCAGTGGTGGCTGGGTTGGATTCTGGTGAAGTTGTTTGGGGTCAGTGACCAGTGGGATCCAGCTGTGGCTCGGGCTCTCAGCAGAGTCACAGTTTGAGTTAGATAGGTGAGCAAGAAGTGAGTATGTAGAATAGGATAGTGTCTCTTTAAATGGTATATTAATGTAATATAGTCTAGTTTTAATAAAGCAATCCTTCAGCCTTCTGATCTGGAGCCAGACCTCATCATCTCTTCCCTGAGTCAGGGTTTGCTGCATTTTTACTATACAGGGCTGTACCTGCCCCTCTGTGGGCAGTGCAAACGCCAAGAACTGAGGGTCTGACCCAAAACAGGGGCCCCTCTGGGAGGGGACGGGGTGGTGGTGTGTTTTGGGGTCTATCTCCTCCCTTCCCACGGACAAAATGACTTTTGTCTCCCTACACTTGTGATATGTTCTCCCAACAACTAAAATTTAGAAGTTTTCTCCTTTTTTGTTGTTTTTTTTTTCCATAATTCAAAGCCGGAAGTACACCAAGAAGACACAACAGAAACTCAGCAGGGTTGAAAAATAGACTGGTCACTTTTTATTGAGCACCAAAGCGGAACCTGAACGGCACAAACCAGGGAGGGCTGCCCAGATCCTCGGGGCTGTGGGAGGCCGTGGGCATTGCAGCACTCAGAGACACACAGGAAGGTTATCAGAGCACCAAACACGCTGCAAAGTGGTCATGGAAATGTTAAAACATCCTACACCAGGCATTCCTACTCTGCTGCTGATAAAGCACCTGTTTCTGGAGAGAAGAGCAGCTGAGGACAGCTCACCTGCTCTGTGTTTTCATTTCAGTGTCTGAGTTTCACATTTCAGTGTTTCACTGTTGAAAACACAGCACTTTGTCAAGCCCCTTCTGTGGCTTTTCTTTCTGAGTTTGGCAATTAATAACTTGAATTAACTTGGAAAAAACCCCCTGAGCATTATAGCACCACGAAGGAGGGTGATGGCTGTGAAACACCCGGTAAACAGAAATTCATCATCAAATTATAAATTTGTCAATTTTCTTTTTTTTTTTTTTTTATTATTTTAATTCCTTTTGCAAGCAGAAAATACCTGTACTGTCCCACCCAGGTGGTTTGTAACTTCTGCAGCTACAAAGAAAACAGACACTGAAGTGAATGTGCCCACTTTGGGCTGCTTTGAGAGATTAGGTTGAGATCTGAAGTTTTAATCTTTCAAATTTGTGAATGAACACCACCAGTTTCTCCACTAGCTCCTCACAAGGTTTCAGGAATTTTTTAGTTTAAAATAGAACATTTTGGTATTTACCCTTTGGGGCCAGCAGTGATCACTGGAGGGCTTTGGTCATTTAATCAGAATTTGATTTTTTCCTGCAGGAAGTTAACGCTGAACAAAATCACTCAGCAGCACTGAGGAGCGAGGCTGCAGTAGGATAAGTAACAAGTTTTCTGGTCTGAACACAGATTGGAACTATAAAATATGGATTGGAGCCTGGACAACGTGGTCTAGTGGAAGGTGATGAGCTTCAAACTCCCTTCCAAGCCAAACCATTCCACAATTCTCTGGTTCTGTGGCTCCTGAGTCCGAGCAGGAATTCAGATCTCACTGCAGGAAGCTGTATAGGATAAAATTCTAGAAATAGCTTTGTCCAAACATGGCGCTATATTTAATATCTTGCACTTTGGAAAAAAGTGAGTTCAGCAAATGAAGATATGTAGGAATATGTGGAGCTCTTCAGCTGTTCCTTTGCTCTGTAAAGCCGCCAGGACTGTGTTTAGAATAGGAAACAGAAGTGCAGTTTGGCACCTTCCCTCTCTCCAGCTGCAAATGTGATGTGCAAAGTATCAGGAGTTTTATAGGTGTCTTGGATTTGGCTTAAATCGTTTAGTGAGTGGGGGAAAAAAAAATCCTGTATTTTGTGAGTGGAAGCAGGCACTTGTATTTGTGAATTGGGTATTCATATGCAGTGCTACTACTGTGCAAATCAAAATGCTAATTTCATGCATGCAGATGGGGACATGGAGCAAACGTGGCTTTTCTGCCAAACAATTCTGGCTGGTTTATCACAATAAATGCAACTGTCCCTTCAGGACTGCCACAGGAAAGGAAAACCTTAATAGAAAATGTGTTTTCCATTGTATAATGGTAAACAGCTAAAAGAAGCTATGAGGCCCAAATACCAACATCCAACATTAAAGATTTAGGGAGATCAACACAAAGGTACAGGGCTCCTGAGGAGCAGTGGCCCATCTCCCAGACAATCCTTTTCAGCACACAAATTTATCCTGGGTTTGATTTTCTAACACATTTAACAAATTATCCAGACTTCAGGCCTCTTGCTGAGGTTTTGCAGGTACAAACCCACAGATTTAGTGGGTATTAACTGTGCTGGCTAAAACCAGCACATTACAAAACCTGGCATGAATTTGTGTGTCTGCCTGGATATTGTAGGAAGGAATCTGTTCCATTATTAACTCTCAATCTGCAGCTCAGCAGACTGAGAAGAGGAAAGTAACCTAAAAATATTTATAAAGCTATTTTTGCTCCTAGCTTAAATGTCTTCAAATTCTTAAGACTTCAGGTTTGGCCATTTAGAGTGGGTGTCAAGCCTGGTTTTTATCTGGGTGTAAATAGGAAAAGAAGAAACTTGCAGGTTTCTTTGAATTTTAAGCTGGTGAAAAGGCTCCTTTAAAGGGGTTGTTCAAGACAGGCAGGCACTGGACTTGGTCCAGAGAACCTCTTTAGTCTCACCTATTTTAAAGCAACTTAGGTATGATATTTAGGTAGAATTCTGACATCACTGGCTTGTGTTCACAGGCCTGAAATCTGAATTGGAGCACATGAAGGGCAGGCTCTGTCAGCAGCCTGATCATGGCACTGTGGCCTACAGGGATCCCTTGGAGGTGTTTGCATTTCATTTGTAGAAGGGCAGCTGATAAGCAGTGTGGTTTCCTTCAGGGGATCGCATTTCACCCCTTCCTGGTGGTCTTAAAATCTGGACTCATCCTGTTCCTTGGATAATGAATTTTTTTGCCAGTGATGGGCAGGGATCAGGGGGTGCTGGAGATGTGGAGATCTGGGACCAGAAAGCTGCTGGGTAAAGCCAGAGTGGTCCAGCTGGGTGAAAACCAAACAACAAAAGAAAAAAAAAAAAGAAAGAGGAATTAAAATATTTATCCTTACTAGGATGTTTGCACAGAACTTGTCTTTAAGTAGCTGAGTAATCTTAACAGCCAGCCTGACGTAGGTGCAGAAGGACACTGAGCTGCTTTGTTTTCATAACTCCCAGCTAAACCAAGCTGATTTTAAAGTGAAGCTGAAAGTGTTGAGAAAACCATCTTGGGACAGAACTTTTGGTGTAATAAATATTTTCATTCTTGCCTATTGCAAGGCTGATAAAACAGACAGAGCTTTTGCAGTTGGCTTGGCTCTGGCCAGATAAATGTGCCTTTGCTCACACAACTGGGTGCCACTGCTCAGCACAATAAAACATAGTTTTATATGTTCACACACATAAAATTATCCCACAAACCCCCCCATGTGCTGAAGTATTTGCAAGACTGACCCTTTTTGCACTCAGGCCGGAATAAACAGCTTTTTAATTTGTCTGGCAGGCCCAATTACACCTGCATTAGAAGAAGCCCCTAAACACAAAGTTTAAAGTCTTAAGGAGCACCAATTATTTTTCATCCTAAAAATCACTCCATCCTCCAAACACCCACAAGGCAAAGGTTCTGCAAAGAGATCAGGTGTGTCTGGTGGAATGAGAGTGTTTCATGCACCTGTACAGGATTTTAAGGTGCTGTCCTTACTCCAGCATTTTGCCTAAAGGAAATATCACCCTCAGACAACCGTTTCTCTGAATAATTGCACTCTAAGCAGCAGCAATTTCCACCCAGCTTTCCCTTTATTCACAGGGCACTTACCCAGGCGCACCTTCAATTAGCCTAAATGCTTCTGCTGGTTTTTCACATAGCCGACCAAATTGTTGGAATTGCTCCCTGTAAAACAAACATCAGCAAAGTCAGTTTTGGGCTGGGCTGTGGCAATGGTTTTTAGATGTTCTCTCAGCAGTGCAGTTTATAATTTCTTGTTAGTGAAATAGTCTCACAATTATGAGTTTGGTAGCTTTTTATTAGCAAGGCACAAAATGGTTAACTAACTCCTGTTACAAGGTCTTTTAAAACTAAACTATTTAATTAAGAAAGGACACTTAGATTATTTTTCCTTTTAACCTAATAACTGATCCTTTGAAGCCCACAATGCAGACTTTTCTGTCCAATCCCAAAACATTACTTAAACTCATGAAGAAGAAGGAAAAAGAAGGTAAAGAAGAACAACTTGTCTCTAATTTAAAACTTCTATCTTGCTTCATATTTATTTCTATATTCTAAAACCCCAAACTCTAAGTTTTTTACTCTGTGATATTACACATTTCTAACTAACTATATACTCAGTAATCTCAGTACTATTAATCCATTTTTAAAGTCTTCTGCACAGCTTCAGGTCAAATGTAGTGTTCTCTTGTGGGTCTGTGCCTTTCAGTACAGAACTGTACTGAAAATTCAGAACTGTACTCTCTAAAATTCTTAGCATCCAGGGTTCCAACATATTGGTATCATTATTTATCAGAGAGCTGGGCTAGCTCACACTGGAAGAGAGGAAAGAAATCCTCTCATGGTTTTATCAGCCAAAGTGGCCAAATTTGGCTGTTTGTAAATCGTATGTCAAAGATGCTGTCTAGTTATACCTGCATGTCACTTCCAATCTGATCCACATCCAAGAGGGAGGAACCAGGAGCTTTGGAACTGTGAGGAAAGATGTGGCAGATGCTCCTGCTTTCTGTGAGCCCCAGATTTGTGAGAGGAACCTGACACCTCAGAGGGATTTCACTGGGCTCCAGCCATCCCTTGTCTCTTACCACAGCCCAAGACCCTGCTTTTGACAGAACTCTGTGTTCAGCTGCAGGGAGTCCTGGGCCAAGAGCAAAGCTCTAAAAATATGCTTAAAAATAAAAATAGATTATTGGACTGGGTGGTTCCCCTGGCAGAAGACCTTTTAACTCATTCTGTCACAGCTGAAAATTCTGGTTCTCATGACTCCACAGTCAGGACATTGTAGATTTTAAAATAAGATCTTCTGACCAAGGCATAGAGAGTTGAACATAAAGAATCTCTTTTTTCTATGTACAAACCTTAATTTCACAAGGAGCAAATTCCTTGTAAGCATTGCAAAAATGATAAAGCTTAATAACAACAACAACAACAAAGACAAACACTTCATGCCAGCAGCTTACCAAAATATTCCTTGTAATACTTATGCCTCAGGTTGTGTCCATCTGGAAAAGAAGGTACATGGTGAGAACATACCCAGCCAGCTTTCATTTTTTGTGTTAAACTCTGGCCTTCTGTGTACAGCACAGAGAAATTAGAGATAGGGAAATAATAACCTCACAATGAGGGAAATAAAAGTCCTCTGTAGCTGAAGTAATTTGGGTTGCTGTAAAACTCTTATAAACTGCTGAGATTACTGAGCTCTGAGGGAACAACTCATTTGCCATAAGAGTGGGAATTGTCACTAGCATTTTATAACCTTTTCAATAGCTACAACTCAAGGAACCAGAGGCTTTCCAAAATGAAATAAAATTCAGGTAACATTTCAGACCATCTATTAGTATTTTACATAATTCAAGTTCTAGCTATTTTGTTCTGTTTTACACTTACATAATTATTTAAGCCCTTAGAAATACTTCATGTCTAGGATCCCCACAGTTCTACATTACATTGGTTACTATGAACGTTATAAAAAAAAGGTTATAAAAGAGAGGATTCAAAAGCCCTGGAAAAACTCTCAATCTGTTTTGGAAGCAGCTCAGAGACCTGGTTTGATGCTTCCCCTGGTTTTTATAGTGACAAATGGCAAAAGCGATGTCTCATGTTTCTACATTGAGGTGATTTGTAGCCCAGTGCCAGTGTACATATCCTACCATTCCATGAATGTCTAAACATGTTATGAGCTTTCCTGGAAAATATTTTGGCATGTGTGAAATTCTTTTTTGGGCAACTGCGTCAGCAGGATAAAGGCAACAAAGCTTTGGATGCAGAAAGCAAAGTCAGAAGACAAAACTGGAATTTAAAACTCAGATTTCTCACTGAAGTGTGCAGTAACTTATAAATATTTTTAGTTTTTGTGCTGTGTAGTAACAGCACATGCAGATACAGCCCCAGAGGACACTGGCTTGAGTGTCGTGGTGTCCTGATCCTTTCCTTTCTGGTGCTGCCCTGCAAACATCAGCACGCAGGAGAAGTTTTTTCCATTCAAGAGAGAGGGGGGAAATGTGGGAAATGGATTTGTAGAGAATTCTCAAAGCCTGACAGAAGGCTCACACAGTGTGCATCTGTATGCAAACTCTGAGACAAGAAATGCTGACTTGGAAATGCCGTGGAATAGGACAGGCATGGTTGAGAGAGAAATGGAACCAGGAACAAGTTTCAAAGGGTGGCCTTGCAAATAAAACCAGATACTTTAGAGAAATAGAACTATGAAATATGCATTGGAGTAGTACCCACGAGGGGTAGTTTTAGATGATTGGCTTTAAGGCATTTACAGCATGGTGTGGCAGAAAGCTGATGGGCCAAGAAATACTTATAATGTATTGTAATTAATAAATAGTTGGCTTCTGATTGTGATGGCGTGAATTATAACATCAGTATTGTCTCACCCTTCATGTGAGACTGAAAATGGAATAAAAGTCTTTAAAACACCTCTCAGCTACCCCATATCTGAGTCAGAAAAAAGGCATAATCCCACAGAGGGAGGTTTCCTGCAGTTACTATCTGGAAGAAGGCATAATCCCCCAAAATGGAGTTTCCTGCAGGGACCTACCTAAAAAAAAGGCACAATCCTACAAAGGGAAGTTTATTGCAGTGACCTACCTAAAAAAAGGCATAATCCCACAGTGGGAGGATTCCTGCAGGGTCCTACCTGGAAAAAGGCATTATCCCACAGAGGGAAGTTTCCTGCACTGACCTACCTGGGAAAAGGCATAATCCCACAAAGGGAAGTTTCCTGCAGGGATTTACCTGGGAAAAGGCATAATCTCAAAAAGGGAGGTTTCCTGCACTGACCTACCTGAAAAAAAGGCATAATCCCCCAGAGAGTGTTTTCCTGCAGGGACCTACCTGGAAAAAGGCATTATCCCACAGAGGGAAGTTTCCTGCACTGACCTACCTGGGAAAAGGCATAATCCCCCAGAGGGAGGTTCCTGCAGGGATTTACCTGGGAAAAGGCACAATCCCCCAGAGGGAGGGTTCCTACCTGGGTTGCCCCGGAGCTTGATGCACTGGCCCCTGTTGGGGATGCCCTCGGCCGTGTTGCCCGGGTTGATGATGTGGCACTCGTAGCCCGTGGGGCAGTGCAGAGGCTCGTCCCCATCCTCCGTGGTGCTGCAGGCCTCAGCTGCAAGAGAAACCTGCAGGTCACCCGTTGTGACCCCCATGGGGACCCCAGCACGGCCACCACCCCACCTGAGGCTCCTTGGCACGAGGGCAGCACAGGGCTGGTCCCTCCTGGCACAGCTCTGCCCCGTTCCCTGCACATCCCTCCCCACAGCCCGCTGTGCCACCCACGCTGTAGGGTTTTAGCTTGTATGTTTGCCATACATTTGCAATCCTGCAATTCTTTAGTGTGATGCCTTAAGTTTTAGCTTCTGTATGTTTCAGGTTCTGTACTGCATTGGTGTGAGACTCTGAGCTTTGTAGAAATTGTTAGCAAGTTCACAGTTTAGTCAGACACAACAATCCTCTTCCAGCCCAAGGACCAAGGACACCGTTGCAGCTTCAAGCCCAAAAGGTGTAAACACCAGGGAATTGAGGAGAGCAAACTGAGAGGATGGGACTGCATAACCTGGAGCTGTAATTGGACAAATAACTCCAATATGGAAATGGACCAAAACTTTTAAAAGTATGAAAACTGTATGAAACCCATCATCCATCTTGGGTGTAGCCTCGGCCAGGCTGTTGTAGTGCCCAAGGTGTATCCATTGAGGCCTTTTAATAAATCCTATTTTATTCCTTTAACTCTGCCCAGCCTCTTCAGGCACCAAGTTGCCTCTTTAGGCACCAAGTGTGTAACTCTGAACTCCATGTCCAGGGTGAGCTGCTGCTTCCCCATTTTGGGCAGACACAACAATTCCTCTCCAGCCCTGGCAATCAAGGACACCTCACTGCCTCAGGCGCCAGAGATGGAAACAAAGGAGAGTGGAGGGGAGCAAGCTTGGGGTAAATGACTTCATTACCTGAAGCTGGAATTGGAAGATTAACCCCTAATATGCAAATGGACCAAACTTATAAAAGTGTGAAAACTCTGTGACCTGCTGTCCATTTTTGGGTGTAGCCCCTGGGGTACTTTGTCTGCCCTAAATGTACCTGAAGGCCCTTCAATAAATATAAATAAACTGCTTTTTATTCCCTTATTTTTGTCAGACCTCTGTTCTTAGGTAGCCCAAAAGCCATCCAGCACTGCCCACCATGCAGGGTGATGCCCCCATGGGGCTGCTCCCCCCAGGCAGGGTAAGTGTGTCCCACCAGGCTCTGGGCTGGGTGAGGATTGGGAATGTGAGCAGGAAGCTGGCAGTGTGCTGCTCTGTGCCCTCTCCACGCCCATAACCTGCTGCTGAATCCAACCCTCAGCTGTGACTCAGTGCGGCGTCAGGCAGTGCCACCCCTGTCCCAAACACAGGTTTCACCACTTTGACCTGGGACAGGCAGCAAGTGCAGCTCAGAACGGGAAGGCAAAGCAGATTTGGGCCAAATGTTGATGGCCATTAAATGTACAGACTCTGCAGGGCCACTCCTCCCTCTCATTTTTAATTTCAAGTAGCTCTGCTGTAATTCTCATGCCATGACTGATGGTTCTTACTTCCCTAATTACTCCCTCAAGCTGAGATGAAGGTGTTCAGATAAGAACAAATAATATAAGTGTGACAAGGATGGATGAGGAGGAACCTATTTTATATTTTTTTCTGGCTGTGCAGCTCCAGTGAGCTGGAGGCAGAATTTTCTCTTCAAGAACTTGGAGTATCCATAATAGATGAGAATTGAAGCTCAGCGACTCTAAAACCATCTGTGTAAGACCAAAGAGAGGAATTTATTTGCACTACCTAGATCTGACTAAAGCTGATCAAAAGCTGGGTTAACTTTTCCATAAAAAACCCAAAAACTTCAGGTGTCCATACATCTGGGAATGCCTCATAGAAGAAAACTTCTCTTCCCACCTCCCCACTCCTTCCTTATTTCATTTTAGATATTGGAAAAAATTAATTAAAACCCCTTTCCCTATGGGATGAACCAGAGAAGCTCAATCTCATTGTCAGTCTCCAAGCTTAGATGCCCCAGGTTCACGTCAGCTTGGCACAGCTCTGCTGCACTTTGCCAGGGCTCCTGTCCAAATCAGCTTCAGCTCCAAAAGCCACAGCCCCAGCCTAAGGCATGTGGGTGATGAGGCCACTCTGGATTAAAGGATCTCCCATTCCAAGTCCACCCACGGTCTATTAGGAAGCTGGCAGAAAATTATGTGTGTGATGACAAAGCCTTTTTCTAAAACAAAAATATATCTCTAATTATTTGAAGAATGGGTACAAGCCCAGTCCCCTGCAGCATTCCTAGTGCTCTGCTAGATAATCCATATCCATAAAAAGTATTTACTGCACCAGGAAGCAGCTCCCAGCACCACACTGAGTTATTCCTGTGGAAACTCCAGACAAATACCAGCAGCCCCAGCAGCCCAAGATCCCAGGCAAGCTCTGTCTATGAGGGATTTATTCTCCAGGCCTTTGTCTGATCATGGACACTGCAGAGAAGACAGAAAAATGTCCTGTACCTTGTAAGACTTCCTCTGGGCCATCCAAAAGCCACCCATTGCCTCCCAGCCAGCGGGGTTTGGGCTGAACCAGCCAGTCCAAGACTGCAGAAGAGAGAAAGAAGAGACCACAGTGTCACAAAGTGGCAGCCACAGGGCACAGAGTTATGGAAAAGTCATGGATTTCCTCTATGGGCCTGTGAGGAGGCTGCCTGATGGATTGATCTGATTTGGATTTATATTCATGTTTTTGTTGTCCCAGTGGAAAGGGAGACATGGTTGTTTAATCCAGGGCCACAAGAACTGGTGTCCTAGAGGCCCAAGCAGCTGCTGCTGCCCATTCTCATTCCCATGGCAGGGGATGGTGAGCTGGCTGCCTCACTTCTGTCAGCACTCATTCAGGCCAGGATTGCCTCTTTTCCTGAATCTAGAAACACAGGAACACAAAATGTTTGGTTTGGTTTGGAAAGGACCTCAAGGATCACCTCACTCCAATCCCTTGCCATGGGCAGGGACATCTTTCACTATCCCAGGCTGCTCCAAGACTCATCCAACCTGCCCTTGGACACTTCCAGGGATGGGGCATGGAAAGTGCCATCCTAAGAAAACAACTGGTCTCGAGTGACTTCTACAATTCGACCAAGTAGAAATTTTGCCACACCAGTTTGCCTGACTATTGTAAATGCAGGTGAACCTGGTGGGAAGAAATGCTGATGTCTGACTCCAGTTCAGAAGGCTGAATGATTTCTTTATTATAACTATACTATAATACATTAATATACTATTTAAAGGATATACTAAAACTACAAAGCTACTTTTTAAAATTACTGTATCTTTCTCACACCTCGTGACCCTCTCTGAGAGTCCAGACATGGTGGGTTGGATTGGCCATCAGGCTCAAACAATCCTCACCATAATCCAGCCAAGCAATCACCCCAGCTAAACAATTCTCCAAACACATTCCACATGGGAAAAACAAGGAGCAGAAATAGAAATTGTTTTCTCTTTCTTCCCTCTGTGCTCCTCTATGAAAAATTCCTGCGAGAGAGAAGAATGTGCCTGCCACACCTGTCCTTGGACACTTCCAGGGATGGGGCATGGAAAATGCCATCCCAGGAAAACAACTGGCTTTGAATGAATTCTAAAATTCATCCAAGTAGAAATTTTGCCACATCAGCTTGCCTTGGACATCTTTTTCACTCATCAACCCAACAGAAACCACGAGTGAGGAACAGAACTCAGAATCACAGAATCACAGAATCACAGAATCACAGAATCACAGAATCACAGAATCACAGAATCACAGAATCACAGAATCACAGAATCACAGAACGAGGTTGGAAGAGACCTCTAAGATCACCAAGTCCAACCTGTGCCCTAACACCTCAACCAGACTATAGCACCGAGTGCCACGTCCAGCCTTTTTTTAAGCACATCCAGAGATGGTGATTCTACCACCTCCATGGCAAGACAATTCCAGTACTTTATTATTCTTTTAGTGAAATTTTTTTCTTAATATCCAACCTATACCTTCTCTGACGTAGCTTGGGACTGTGTCCTCTTGTTCTGTCGGAAGATCCCGACCCCCACTCGCACCCAAACCTCCCGCCCCGCACCCAAGGCACGTGAAGATTGCCAGCATCCCCTCCAGGAGCCCCTGTGTCCCCCAGCTGCCCCAGGGCCCCCTGTACCTGGCGGGGGCTGCACGGACTCGAGGCAGGCGTAGATGCAGCCGTTGTAGCAGCAGCGCTTGTGGCGCTGGCACTCGGCGTCGGAGCGGCAGCTGGGCACCTCGCAGGCGCGCTCGGGCAGGCTCTGCGGCGGCGGCGGGCACCGGTCGTTCTTCTGCTGCTGGGAGCTGTGAGAATGAAGAGGGTACTCATAATCCTTTGCAAAGAGAAGAAAAGGAAGTCAGGTTGGGCGTAAGGTGAGTTACGGAGCATCCCGCCGGAGGATGGTTTCAAAGGGGGTTTTTGAGCGTTTGGTTCTCCTCTCAGAGAGGAGAGATAAGTGTGTAGCTCCCCCAGCACTGTGTGATCCCTGCTGGAGAATGGTTGCAGGAGAGGGGTCATGGATCAATGGAACATTTATTCATTGATAACTCTGTCTAAGACCCCAGAATCAGAATCAGGCTGTGTCTGGCCTGGGAACAGAGCCTGGGAAATAGGCTCTGTGTCTAGGCCTGGGAAACTGTACAAGGTCTGTCTAGGCCTGGGAAATAGTACAAGGTCGGAATGAGATAATAAGGATGAGCATATCCTTGGAGATATGCTTGTACAAGAATAGGCTGTGTGACAAGATGTGCCCAGAGAAGATGGGATGTACCATGATGATGTGACTAGAGACGAGAAAGTTGGCTTAAGAAACCTGGCTATAGTTGTAAATGCACATAGGCTAAACAGAACAAACCCCTTTGTAAATTGACCAATGAGAGCTGTTGCTGACTTTGCTTGTAGCAAACGCTATATAAACTGACAGGATTTTTGAATAAATGAAGCTTGCTTATCAATCATACTGATTGTGCTTGTCTTCCCTCCACCTGTGGCTTCATTTTGTTTCTTAAGCCAAGTTTCTCATCTCTAGTCATGTTGTCATGGTACATCCCATCTTCTCTGGGCACATCTTGTCACACTGCCTATTCTTGTACAAGCATATCTCCAAGGATATGCTCATCCTTATTATCTCATTCCGACCTTGTACTATTTCCCAGGCCTAGACAGACCTTGTACAGTTTCCCAGGCCTAGACACAGAGCCTATTTCCCAAGCTCTGTTCCCAGGCCAAACACAGCCTGATTCTGATTCTGGGGTCTTAGACAGACTTATCAATGAATAAATGTTCCATTGATCCATGACCCCTCTCCTGCAACCATTCTCCAACAGATCCCCTCAGTGGAGTGCTTTGGAAACACCAAACAAGCACTAAATCATTGACATTGCATTGTCAATTATAAATTGCAACCCAATTTATAATTGAGGTTATTGCATCGAAAATTAGGAGGTTAAAAAAACCAAATCCTTTAAAGTCTTTTATACTTGCCTGGGAAACTGAGAGAAAATCCCAGGCGTCCCTATGATAAGGACACCAAAACACTTTGATGGGGAAACAGTGGAAATGAGGGCACTCTGTTGTTTTGGGGCGTGGGATTAATGTCCTTGATAGCACCTCTCTCCTCAGTGGGCTCCTTCCATCTCCATCACCTTGTCTGGACCAGAATTTATAGGGGAGCCTTTCAAGTTTATCCACAGTGGAGCTCTGGGCTGTTAGATTAGAGACTGTTTCTAAACCATGGGACATTCTGGGTGAGATCTGTGAGATTGATGCCAGCTTGGTCCCAGAGAAAATGAGCCCACGTTTCTCTGCAGTGGAAATAAGCTGAGCTGCTCACTGCACACTGACAGGACAAGGTAGGTGTAAAGTGCATTAACAGGCCCAGGAACATTTATGAGGCACCATTCAGATATTTGTCACACTGGGGCTGATTTAGCAAGAAGCCAAATCCCTCCAGCAGAAAGGTGAATCACCCCAGCCTATTCTTTTCTCACCTGTGGCTCATCCACTCCCTCATCTCTGGGCTGCAGAAAGTGCTCAGGGCACTCAGGTCTCAGATGTATTAATGACCATTTATAAGCTCTCATAAAATCACAAGTGGATTCTGGATTTGCACTTTTAAAAGAGATCAGCATCAAGCCAGGGGCGTGAAGTGAGCTCTGCCATGGCCTCACAAGCAGGCTGGTAAAATCACAAATACATAAAAAAATGTGTAAATATGCACTTGGCCAAATCATTGGTGTGTTACAAAATCAGTGATGAGAAACTGGGGTTGTTATTCCAAGAATAAACATGGTACAACAGTCTCCAGGGATTTCTAAGAAATTTCACCACCAGACTGTGGAGAAATTTGAGGTGAGGTTGTTAGTGTTCAGGAACACACATAATCACAGGATATGATTATCTGCAGGTGCTTTTATTGAGAGCTCTGGGAATCGGGGTACAGACCCAAATCTGACTCCTACATGGCTTTCGAGCTGAACGTATTTTATATTCTATCATTATATAACTTACATATTAATTATTAAACTTATATTGTTCTATTGTATACATCGACTTTATTCAAGCATGAGTTTCTTGTGATCTTTCTTAGGCCTCTGACCACAGTTTCTCATTATTATTCTTACGATTAAACAGTAATTATATTTAATTACTAAACAATCACCACATCTAACAGTTATATCATTTATCATGTACTAACTACACAGGTGTAGTTCTAGCAAGGTACAAGGCCTTCATGTACCTGAGGTAGTTATTTTTTTTTTTTTTCAGGGCCTACTAAGCTTAATTTTCCTTTTAACCCTAAATCCCCATAATTTTAAAACCCTTTTACTATCAAGGTTGACATCCCTCTCTACATCCTGCTCCATCCTTATGCTGTAACTCCCAATGCTTTGGAGCATCTGTCCTTTGACAACAGCCTGTTCCCACATGGATTCTCCCAAAAGCTGCCCAAGGAGAGGAGTGTCAGAGGGACAGAGAATTCCTGATGTTTTCACTAATGACAGTCTCCTGCCCTGTTCCCAATATCAATAAACAATTCCTGCTTTTTCCTTTAAAACTCTTCTGTGGCATTGTTTTCCCATGAACTGATAGGCTGTTTAAACCACTAAAAAGGTTTGGAAAAACCCAATTTTGATGATGTTTTCCATGCTGAAGGTGCAAGCTCTCATATTTGTCCATTCCTCAAAAGCTGCAAACACTCTAAATTTAAAACAAGTTTTAAAATCAAAGATATTTAAAATATACTTATCGCCTTCTTTTTTTTTTTTTTTTTTTTTTTTTTTTTTTTTCTGGGATTGCTGGATTTTAAATAGAGAAAAATTTCATACCAGCTATAATTTTGGGACATAAGGGAGCACTGAACAATAAATCTGTGGAGTTCCAAACACTGAACAGGTCTCCTTGTTGGAGGGAGTGTTCATCCTGGAAGCTCACAGTTTACTATTCTATTTGAAAGGTCATCTGCAGACGGAAATGGGACCAAAATCATACTGGCAAATAATGGATACATGAAATAACCACCAAACAATTACTGCAGTTGCTTCACAGATGATTCAGAAACCAAGAAGCCAAAACTGCAATGAACAGCTGGCTCCATGAATGAAATTTCCGCTGGGGAACAATATAACAGTTGTAGCCAAATAACTTTGTACCTCATGACCTCCCTGCCCATTTTCTCTGGTCACCTATTGCTCCCAGCTCATTGCTTTCAAAATAAGAATATTTTGCTTATTTGGTTCAATAAACCCCCTTGTTTATGGGTGCATAAAACAGGATTTCCTCCTTCCCCAAAATAATCTGGGTAAGGATGTGTCCAGGTTTGGGTTATAAGGTTTTTTAAAAGCTCTCCCAGCATTCACAGTTTGGCTCTGATTTATTATTTTTGCAGATTGTGACGACAGTCAAAATTTCTTTGCAAATGTTTTTCAGCACAGGAGGTAAATTTCTGTTTCCCAGGGAGCGACTTGTTTAATAATTGAATGACAATATCTGCCTTGGAGATAGAAACAAAGTAAGGGAAAAGGTTCAGAGTTCAGCTGAGGAACTCTGAAAGTCAACAAAGATGAGGAAAACCTGGATGGAATCACTCAGTCTCAGCCATAATTTCAACAGCAACTGAGGGATGCAGTCTACCTCCCAAAAATCCCAGATCTATTCTGTTATTTGTGTCTGGAACTGGTCCCTGAGCTTGTGTCAAAGCCCAGCTCTCTGCTAATTCATGTTCTGCATGGTGCCCTTTGAGATGACACCATGAGGTTTATTTCAGCCTCCCACCACCAGCTCTGGCCCAGGTATTCCCAAACACTGGCCATAAAAACAAAACAAAACAAAACAAACCCCCAAAAACCACAAAAACAATCAAACAAAAAACACCCCTACACAGTCAGAGGGAATTTTAAATCCACTAATATTTCCATTAAAGACCACCCACCACTGGTGAGAAAATCACCCACTGGTGGGAAAATCACCCACCAGTGATGATCAAAGCAGCAAATATCAGACTGAAAGCAGCTTAAAGAATCTGAAGGACAAGACCAAAGCAATGGCAATAATATTCTCCTGTTGTTAGCTCAGTATTTGTCATTTTGGTCCTGCTGTTTGCAGGTGGAAGGACACTGCAGAACTGGGGTGGGCTCCAAGAAGATGCACAATAATGAGTAAAAGGTTGGAAAGCAGGAAATACAGAAAAAGGTGTATTCAGAGGGAAATACAGGAAAAGGTGTGTTCAGAGGGAAATACAGAAAAAGGTGTATTCAGAGGGAAATACAGGAAAGGGTGCATTCAGAGGGAAATACAGAAAAAGTGTGTGTGTGTGTGTGCAGGTTCCAAAGGGGAGGCTGAGGCTGCTCTGCTCACAGGTTACTCCAAGGATATGGGGGCCAGCACTCAAAGAGGGTACCCCAGGGCTGATTTATGACAGTTGGCTGCTGGAGGGTAAATAAATTGTTGGAAGAGCATTACAGCAGCTGTGAGGAATTCTTCATTTCTGGAAAACTTTAGAAGAAGGCTGGGATTTTTCTAAAACACTTTCTGTAGTTGACAGTGGAATGAAATCCAGACTGGCCCAGTTTTTCCCAATAGACATGATGGGTATTTTATGATGAACTGAACCCATTCCCAGGTAGCTCCCTCCCTCTGCCCCTTGGGAACAGTCCCTGGAGTGTGGGGGCTGCAAACACCAGCTGCAAATCACTAACCTTGACAAGTATCCCTCTGGAAAATATATGGCTTTGTTTTAAAGCCCAGCTCCTGCATCCCACTGTGTCTGCCAGGTTTTTCTCCTCACTGCCATCCTTCTTTCTCCTTCTCCAGTCCCACTTGACCCCTCCTTGCCAACCAACACCTTCCTCAGGGTGAATGAGAACTCCCTGTCAGCTCCTCATCCTCACGCCTCCCCATCATCCTGCATCCAGCATTTTTCTGGATGCACTCCTCCTGCTGTAGCCTGAGATTTTCTGGGCTCAGACCACACCAAGCTGTGTCCTTTGGGGTGCCACAGGGATGCCTGTGGCCCATGTCCCACCTGGCTGCACGTTGCCATCAGCACCTCCATCTGTCATCCCTTTGTCCAAGTGACTCACAAATCAGCTGCTCTGCCCCCAGACTCTGATTTTCCAACTGCAGGGAACACACAGCATTTGGTGGGAGAGAAAACATCCCTCTGAGGAGCCAGAGGGGCTGCCAGAGCTGCCTCCTGCTGCAGGAGAGGATGGACAGCAGACACTTTCCGCCTGACGAGGCTTTGAGGAGGAGAAAGAAAAGCGTTTTCTGTTTTCCCTGGATCAATGCTTTTATCAATATGAGCAATTCTAGCTGAACTTGCCAGATCAGTAGCACCTGGATTCAGGGCTGCCAGGAAAAACAGCCCTTTGAAGAAGTGCAGGTTGAAAGGAGAGGATATATCCCCCAGGGGAGCTGGCTGTGCCTCGGCAGGGCTCCTTATCTGAAAATCAACATGTAAATTCCTCTTCTGCTCCTGTCCTATCTCTCTGGGTCATTCACCTCATGGTTTCTATTAATTTTGAGCTTCACATTGAAATATGGCAGAAGAACATCCATATAAATGCACTTGCCAGTGAGTGATTTGGCAGGAAATGCAGCTCTTTACATCACCATTTTCCAATTAAAGTGCAAACCAGAGGATACCTAACCCAAGAGAGGCTATAATGGAGAAGAACTCTTAAAAAATCCTGAAGTGCCTTTCAAAAATCAGCACAAAGTTTTCTGCACTATTTCAAGGAGACATGACAGAATTCAGTTTGCTCATTGGGGGCAAAGGATGTGTGTCACTATTGTGAGTCAGCAATTGCACAAACCAGATGTTGCCATGCACAAACATCACTCTAAAAGTCACGGGCATAAAAACATCCTTTTTGAATTAAAAGCTGCAGAAAACAGATGGAGGGATCTGCCTGTGACACCAAGGTGCTGTTTACACACATGCAGTGGTTGGGAGATGCAATCAGACCTAAGAAAATAAATTGTTTGGGGCTTGCACCCAAGCAATTCAAGGAGCAGAAACCTTGGCTTAGTGCTGGTTTCTAAGGGAACTTATATGGATCAAGTAAAAATTTCAAATTTATAACTTTTTGGGGTTTTTTTTAAACAGCAGGTCCTAAACCTCAAACTATCAAATTATTTTCATTTTTTTTTTCAATTCCCACTTCCTCCGTGGCCATCTCTGACAGTGGTTTGGCCCAGACACACCAGGGTGAGACCCAGCACCATCCTCTCCACTGGTTGCTGTCCCAGTTCCAGTTCTAGTTCCACTTCCAGCCTCCTGCAAAGTGGGTTTGGAGGCGGTGGCTGTGCCCAGTGCCCTGTGGAGCTGCAGGCTGCCAGGAGCAGGCACAGATGGTGGCACCCAGGGTGTGCCAGGGCAGGGGCAGCAGCTCTGCTCGCAGGGGATGCGCCGGGCACAGCCTCGGGGATGGATTTCTGGGATCTCCCACTTTAGGGTGATGGGCAGGCCGGTCTGGCAGCATGGGGCTGAGCTCTCTGTGTGCTCCTGGCATTTACAGAACCGTGGGCAATGCCACCATCCCTCCCCGCAGCACATATTTATCCTAAATCACCCCAAAAGGCAGCGTAGGAGCTGCGGAAGGAACTCTCCCTGCTCCAAGCAATAAATCCCATTATCTTCCTGCCACGAAACGTCTCCCCGGAGCCGCAGGGTTTGCACCCCCTTCTCCCGGTCCCTTTTTCCTGGACAGCGGTGCCGGTGCCATCCCAAAGCTCCGTCCCTGCTCCCATCGCGCTCCCCAAACCGCAGCTAGGTGGCAAAAGTTGCACCCAGCCTGGGAAAACTTCCCGAATGGCTGTGCCACAGAGCCAGCCAGCCAGCAGACACTGCTGACCCCAAAACACGTCAGGATAACCCCCCTTTTCCCCGCGAGCATCCCCCGAACCCCCCAGCCGCACTCACATCGTATTTCTCGGTCATTTTCAGCAGGGCGCGTTTCCAGAGAGCCCTGGCACAGCCCGGCTGGGGCAGCAGCAGGGCACACAGGGCTGCGGTGAGGATCTCTGCACACAAACGCATCTCCAGCCCGGGATTTTGGCAGGGAGAGGTGGAAGAAGGAGCCCGGGAGCTCTCGGGATGCGGGCGGCTCCGGGGCTCGGCAGGGAGGGAGAGGCGGGGAGAGGGCTGAGCGCTCTGAGCCGCTTTTCCCTGAGCGCCTTCTGGGAAGGGAAAAGGGAAGGAAAAAAAAAAAAAAAAAAAAGAAAAAAAAAAGAGTCCAGAGGCAGATTCCGGGAGGTGCTGTTGAACTTCTTTCGGTCGGATCAGGTTCTCGGCTCGCAGGTTCGCACAAAGCAAAGCTCCCGCTCTCCTCCAGTGATGGACGGGAAGATTACTTGGAAAGATTATTTTTAGACCTTTGTTCCCAACATCTGGCATCCTCCGAGAGCCCCATTCAGAGCCGGAGCGTGGGATCGGATGACAGCTGCCGCAGGGGGAAATAAAGGTCTCGGAGGGGTGGGCTCGGCGGATTTTTGCAAATAGTTCACCCAAACTTCCCAAGAGCCCGGGCTCTCCCTCCGTGTGCTTCCTCCTGTGGGTTTGCATCACTTTGTCTCGACAAAGCCATAACTTCATCTGGAGCCCACTTGAAGGAAACGATTTAACAACATGATAAACATCCAGGGGCTTTCATTAAACCAAGGTGACGTTGGTTTTCTGAAAACGATTTTGAAGGAGGGGAAAGACCTCTAGGAAAAAATAAATTGGGGTGTGGAATGGGGAAGGAAGGTGGTTTGGAAATGACATGAGCACACAGAGAAAGCAAGGAAGGGGACATGAGTCAGGCTGTGCCTGACAATGGGAGGGACGGAAGGAGTGGACGTGGGGTTTTGGACATCTCCATGGACATCCAGGGCCTGGAGGATGGGAATGCTCGTGGAATCAGGCTGAAAGCTGCCCAGCATCCTGCCTGGGATGGAGACAGAGGCAGCTGTTACATTCTTGTGTATAAATATATATATCTGCTTGTATCTGACTGTAGAAACATCAGAAGGGCTGCTCAGGCTCACATGCTCGCACAAAGCTCATGCTCTCCTTGAGTGATGGACAGGAAGGTTACTTGGAAAGATTATTTTTAGATTATTTTTATGAGCCAAATGTGTGGGCTGTTTGTTTTATAATTCCCCCCCTGAGTTTCTCCTCCAGCAGCTTGTCCAGCCTCCACCTGAATGAAGGAGGAAACAGAACCACAAAAGTCATCAAGATACAGACACTAAGCCCTGATTGCCTTCATTTTATCCCTGCTAAGCAGAGAGGAGCCCTGCTAGATGCCTTCATTTATTTTATATCCACTCTAAAATGGGTCTGCAGAGGAGTGCAGGAGTTATACCCTGTGGATACACACAAAAAAAAAAAAAAACAAAAAAACACACCAAAAAAAAACCTTCCAATTACTCCTTATACCTGAAAGCTGTGGAAATTCACTTTGATCCATGCCCAAATGTCAATAGCTGCATGCTGGTGGAAGCCAAAGGATTTTGTCTTGAAGCTTGCCAGAATATGATAATGGGAACCTGAAAAAAGAGCAAGGTGTGCCTTAAAAAGCTCAGTATTGAAGGGAATATATTTGATTTATTTAGAGTTGAGGTTCCTAAAGTTTTTCTAGCAGTAACTGTGCTTTGGGCAGTTCTCTGTATGTCTCTACTGCTATTAAAATGTTATTTGTAACACGATCTGCTCAGTTCATGCCAGGGAATTTTGCTGGGAAGTAAAACCGGGGATTCCTCTTATGGGGAGAAAGGGAATGAAGAGTTAAAGTGGAGAGGGTCACCTCCCTCACAGCTGCAGAGGTACAGGGTGGGGGATCCCAGTGGGACAGCACAAGTGCTGTGACTCTGCATGGTCTGGGATTCCCAAAGGAGCTGTGCAGATGCAATGAGCCTGCATTGCTGCATTTCTGTAACCCCTGCTTGCTCCATAGAGCCATCCCCACAGGTGCAAGCTGGGTTTTGGGGGCTGACAGGCTTTGAGGTGGCCCCATGGTACAGCTCTTTCAAGTACAGCACTTGAACTGGAGAGCATTTTGTGTCACAGAGGCTTCCCCCTGCAGCTGGCTGCTGAGAAGGCTGTCCCTGCAGGGAGCACAGCTCCAGGTCCCTGTCCTGCTCTGCCCCCTTTCACCAGCTCTCCTCTCCCCCAGAGCTGCAGCCCTGCATTTAAAACAGAATTTATCCAGTTTTCCTCCAAACAGGCCATTTTCCTCAGGCTTCTCTCTTGATTCAGTGGTGACTGTGGACAGCTCACAGGCCAACCCATGGAAAAGTGACTCCCTGAGGACAGAAGTGTCACCTTGGGATGCTGGCAGAGCTCAGCACCTGCAGGTCACTGTCACCTCCACCCAGATCTCATCCAAAACCATCTGAAATCTGTGCTGCAATTACTGAAAGGCTCACTCAGCTTCAGTGCATCCAGAGAGGAGTGAATCTCTGCCGTAACACTGCCACCTCTTCCACCTCTCTCTTGATTTTTGGCTGCTCACAGGGCTTTGTCTGACACCCCAGGATTCTGCAATTCCTTTCACAAGCACAGTTCCAATATTAATACCTGCACCTGGACCCAGCACCGCTCAGGCACATCCACCCATGCCCTGGCTCCTGTTCTGCGAGGTGACAAATGACATGGCTGCTTGCACAGAGTAAACAAGATTTCTCCTTGGAGTATTCCTGCTTTAATTTATGTCCTTGTGCTGATCTTTCACTGCTCTGTGCTCGCTCTGAAACCCAAACCACCGTGAAACAACTGCTGACGATAAATCTCCCTAATTTAATTCCATTTTTTGTTGTTTCATATACTTGCAATCTGGACTTGGAGCAACTAATTCCAAAGATGAATAGCTACTTCAGACACCATTTACTGGCCTTTATTTTTGCAGATACACAGCTTTGACATTTATCTGGGAAAAAACAGAGTCTGTGCCTTGCAGTCCGTGGATTGTGCACTGAAGAAATGAGAATTCTGCAGGACCAAAATTCAACAGCTGGTCACAGTCTTTACACCAAAATGAAAGTTGATGTCATAACACTGATGGAACTGTAACTCATCCTGCACACAACTCTTTCATGATTTCTTCCAGCCACCCATCTCCATTCCTCACAAGCTTTTATCTCCAGTCTCTGTTGGAAGCTAGATAGGAGATTGTATCTTTTTTTTTCAAGATTAAAAAAAACTTCCCTGGCAATACTGGAAATAATATTTTTCTCCCCTTTGCTGGATATTCATCTTCTTGGCAGTCCCTGGCTGGGCTGTGTTGTCACAGGACAACTCCAGGACATCATTTATGCCATTCAGAGCCATATTTTCCTCCCTTTTGGAGCTCAGTGAAACCTAAAACCCAGGAGACCTCAGTCCACTCACTTATGGAGCATTTTTCATCCACTGCAGAGCAGTTCCTGCCCTACCAAGCTCAGTTTTGACTTCCCCATTTAGACAAAAAAGAGGAGGAACCCCCTTGACTTTCTGAAGGATTTCTTGTTTAACACTGGCAGGTTTATGTCTCCACTATTAGTTAAAGCATTCTGAGCAGCTTGTGCAGAAATTCTAGGCACAAATCCTTAAAAACACAACCACTGGCAATAATCAGAAATTTCATATTGACTGGTGAGCAGGTGTCAGAGTTGTGTAATTCAAATGCCAGGTGTTTGATGATGGATGGTGATTTAAAAGCAATTGTCACAAGAAAGTAAAAAATAACTTCCATTTTCTCTTCAATACATCTTATCCACACACAACAGGAGGGCTAAAGTGGTTTACTCCAAGTGGAGTTTGCACTTCCATAGGGAGTGGGTGCATGGACATCCTATGCACAGGTCAATAAGTGATGCTGGTATTAGAAATAATGGAATTATTGCAATATCTTGGCTGGATTTGGCTCCAGCTGATGCAAAATCTTGGGCATCCAGCAGGCCAGCAGTTCAAATCATTTTTATCTTGCCATCACTAGGTCAGGATTTCTCTGCTGTGAGATTTGTGGAGCAGCTCCTCACACCAAATCCCTGCTGCCTGCAAGGATGCTGAGTGAGATTTCTCCTTCCATCACCCTGGGCAGAGTCACCCACAGCACTGCTGCTGACTGGGGCTGTTTCTAATAAAGGGATGGGACTATTGTTGGCTTTAGAATGATTTATTGATTCCATAAACATTCATCTGAGAGGCTGGGAGATGTTAGAGGAGTAGGTAGTTGGTTATAGTACAAAAGAGTTACAAGTTTTTAATAACAATCCATTAGTTATATTTTAGTTTTTAATAACTATTCAGTAGTTATAAGTTTTTATTAACTATCCATTTAACTAAAAAGTACATCTTTTTAATTAAATAAGATTTTAATAACTATAAATTAATAACTATAAGTTTAATGATAAGTTAACTATAAGTTTTTAATAACTATAAGTTAACAACTATAAGTTTAACTATAAGTTATCAACTATAGTTAATAACTGTAAGATTTTAATAACTATAAGTTATAGTACAAAGTAGTTATAAGTTTTTAATAACTATTTAATTAAGAAGTATTACTTTTTAATTAAGTGGATAGTTATTTTGTTTTTCTAACTTATTGCTTTTACATACTTCTGCTGTACTGTGGATAATTTTGCTTAAGAGACTGTTGTTGTATGTATGCACATGTTTTTATTATCACTTTTAAACTCTTAAATTACTCTCAATATATAATATATAATATATAATATATAATATATAATATATAATATATAATATATAATATATAATATATAATATATAATATATAATATATAATATATAATATATAATATATAATATATAATATATAATATATAATATATAATATATAATATATAATATATAATATATAATATATAATATATAATATATAATATATAATATATAATATATAATATGTAATATGTAATATGTAATATGTAATATATAATATATAATATATAATATATAATATATAATATATAATATATAATATGTAATATGTAATATGTAATATGTAATATGTAATTAATATTTAATATATATATAATTAATATATAAGACATATGCCATATGGCATATGATATATTATACATTATATATGATATATGCTGTATGTTATATTCTATATGTTATATATTACATTAGCTATGACTATATATGATATATAGTATATATATTACTATACTATAGACTCTACTATTTTATTCAATATAATTTCTTATTTACTTAAGGTATATTTTTATTTGCAACCATAGAAACACAAGTTTATGATTTTTCTACTTAATGTCTGTATACTTAATTTTTGCATCAATCTAAGCTCTTTTTAAGGTTGCAGATTAAAGTCTCTTGAATTTGTGGAAGTGGACGAATCTCTGTGAATTTCCATCCCACAGTGGTGTCAATAAGGCAAATTCTGCAGTACCACAAACTGCTGTCAAGTGATGGTGCAAGGACATGGGAGAGATTGAGCACCTCCCCGGGGCTGTGAAACCTCAGCATCATTTGGTACAGGCAGGCAGAGGTATCTCAATGCAAGGAGTGGCATTTTATCAGCTTAGGGCAATAAAACCACCTTTTGGAACCAGCATTCATGCTGCCTGATTGGGATGACTTAAATAATCATTTAAAAAAATGTTCTCAGGGAGGTTGTGAGTGAAAGTCATGGGGCAGCCAAGGGAAA